GTTATTTTATGAATCATTTTAGTTTGGTTTTTGAAATTGTCAATCCGGCTATAATAATTTCTGTGAGAATTACACGGTTAATGAATTTAATGAGGAATTTTTGCTTTGCACTGTGATTAGAGTTAAACATTTTATGCGATGTCACGTAAATATTGCCATTGTGTATTTAAAAACGTTTATGTGTAAGTATATCAGATTTGAAACTTTTTAAATATTCTTGTAATTTGATTTATAAGTCTGTTATTCGAAAAATAAAACACAAGCAAATAAAGGAGTATTGTAACTCTTTTACGATTTCTTATTTATATATTGGAAATACAATACTATGATCGATCCATAAAAATATCAATATCATCGATCCTTAAAATCAGTTACAATCTCTACATAGTATAAAAAACATTGACAGTATCTTTTCGTCCGTGCCTCGGAAAGCACGTAAAGCCGTTGGTCTTGCGCCTGATCTCTCTCCGGTCGTGTCGGTTTACCGTCCCATCAGATTATATAAGAGTGAGGGTATAGAGAGTGCACCTGCGCTTGCGCATACACTCGGGCACTATAATCCTGTCCTGCATCGATGGCTCCATGGCATGGCAACCCTTTAAGGCAGGCCGCCGTGACCAAAATTCGGTCTTCAAACATTATTATTTATTATTACCCGTTACAAAACAAATCCTTCCCTCCATCTGTACGTTTAGATATTTTAAACTACGTAACCAACTTTGATGGGGTTTTTATCAATAGACTGAATTATTCAAGAGGAAGGTTAATACGTACAATACATGCACACTTTGTCGAGATCCGAAAATCACCCGTGCGACGCCGAGGCGGATCGATATTTTTTTTATTAAAGTAAGCACACAAACGAGCACACAATCCGACCTATTAGTAAGTTAATGATGTTACCTATAGTTATAAGTTTCTATTAGAAACCTTCATCTACCCTCGATTAAGAATCAAAATGCAGTTGCATTTTCACGCTCGAAGACTATCCGGTCGAGATAAATATTCATTATCAGTAAAAAAAAAACAGAGGGTTCTTGTTACCATTTAAAGTACAGTAGCATAATGCTGGTATTCTATGCAAGAGTGGTGAAATATCAAATATTTTTAAAATTAGATTTATTTCATTTAAATTTTAAAATTTGTAGTCGTTATCCAAATCACGCTCGTTTATAAACCGCACTTTAATACCGACTTATCCAAAAAAAAAACACGTAAAAAACAATAGCATGCAATAATTTTTCATCTTCGTCACCTCAAGAGGGCGTTTTAAACACGTTTTATCACTTAACTCGCAATAAAAACCCACGTGAAGTTACAAGTCTCCAATCCCAGAGCAGTTTTATCTTGATTTAGTTATATTAATAGCTATAAATATGGGTACGAATGTTACGAGTATTCACAAGCAGCCATAGTTTGTCTAAGTGCGGCTTTCGAACCGGCGCGGTCGTGGTCGCCCCGGGCAAGCGAAGGCTTTCAGCTCATAGACCAATCGAGAGTTATCGGTAGACACGCAACGTTAAAATTATTTATTTTCCATTTTGCCCAACAGTTATTTATGTTACTATTTTATTACAACAAATGGTAAGTAATGATAAACAAATGAAGAAAACCTTAAGAAAGGAAATGATAACAAGTTTTGAATGGGACATTTTGATCGAAAGGTCTTCTGTTTCTGAGTTTTGAATAAATATATATTATGTTAGGCATCGGCATTTGGTTGATATTAAAGTGGCAAACAAGCTAATAGTCTACCAAATAGTTGGTGACTTCAACATTATTAAATCCCTCACAGTTTAAAATTACATTGAATTCATATCCATACTCAAACTCGAACAAACACAAACAATGCAATGGATGCACTAGTCTTTGCTGGAAGAAATAGGTTATACGTGGTAGAGTCACGCTGCAGCTATATAAGTTTGGCACGATTGGTTCAGCTGGATCAGGGTAGGACCACGCTCTCACAGAATACCAGCGTAATAAGAATATAATAAAACAGAATCACAGAATAACAGCAGCTTAGCGCTGCTGTGTTTCGTATGGTGAGTGTAGAGAACCGAAGACCCTTACTGTAAAGGAGACATTCAATCTCAAGGGTGACAACGCATCTGCATTTTGATTCGTAATCAAGGATAGATGTAGATAATATTTATAAAACAACAGCTTAATGCTGCTGTGTTTCGTATTGTGAGTGGAGATAACTGGAAAACTTTTTTACTCATGCTGACAGGTCTTCAGGGATGACAACGTGTCTTTATTTTGATTTTAAAAGAGGATAAAGGTGAGCTCGTTTGTCGCCCTTATAATACAAAAAAAAGAGTTTTAGAAAGTGTTTATTAAATAATTTTCCTTTCGGATTTATAGAAGGAGCAAATATATTACAAGTTTATTACATAAAATAATAAATATCGGTCCGCCTACTCAATCACTCATTTATTTATCGTTTGAGATATTATAGGTAATTCATAAAAGAAAATTAGTTAGTTTTTGTTACATTCTATTAAACGTATCTCTGAGTTATAAGTTATAACTCAACAGAAGTGTGTTAAACAGTTCTACCTTACTTCTTATTAATGATGAATTACATTTGAATTATGCATATTATTACTATTCAGGTTATTTACTTTTTCAAATATCATATAATATATAATAAAATCAATTGAGTCATAGTAGTTCAAGCGATAATCGTTATTACTTTACCATAAAATACATTACATAATAAGAATTAAATTATTATATACAGTTAACTATGGAGGAACGACCAATCAAAGATTTCGTATCTCAGATTATAGAAACGGTCACATTTAATAGATAAAATCAAGATGGCCAAGTAAAGGGTGACATTAGTAACGGTCGTAGGTCAAAAGCAAATCGACGGCAGATTTAGAAATAATTGGCAATCGGCGCTGCCTATCGATTTCGATCGAAACGTGAACTGAGAGAAACTATAAGAGCTAAGCAAACAATAAAATATTGGATTGTAACAAATAGGTCACTGGTGGCTTTTGGTAACAATAATTTTTTTTATATTTACATATAAAAAAATATTGTTCTTGCTTCATCCTTTAGCTTTATTTTCTGAATTTCTATTATAGAATAATGGTTACAAAAAAAAAACACATAGTCCACCACGTGGTAAGTAGATGCTATGGCCATGCTATGATAGATATGGATGTCTATCATTAATTAAGAAACAAAATGCAGATAAGTTGAAACCCTGAGAACTAAGATGTAATGATTCGTTACCAGTAATAAGGGTATCCGATTCTCTGCAATCACCATACGATACACAGCAGCATTATAATGCCTCACGCTGGTATTCTGTGAGAGCGTGGTCCTCTTCCCCTGACGATCTGATGGATTTATCTTATTAAACTTGGTAAGAATAATTTCGCCCATATCCGAAAATAAAATATGTCTTACCTAATTATAACACATAACTCTCTCTTTCTATCCCCGTCACCACTAATCCCAGCACCACTACTCCCAACACCACTACACTACGAAAGTCTTTCCTTGAGCGGATGGGATCGAAGGGCGAAGTAATTCTTAACAACTTTAATATAATGTAATTTAAGATTTTCGCAAAGTAACGCCTGATTCAATTAATAGATTCAGCTTAATCAATTTAATTTAAATCAACTTCAACTTAATTAAAATGTTATAAAAAAACAATTATTAGTCTCTAAATCTACTATTTGGGCTCGACATTATAATATATAATTATAAAATTAAATTAAATAACCTTTTATCATACATCAATCAAACATTATTTAATGTAATGTTTATGACTTATGATTATCTGTGATAGAACAGTTCAATTTTAAACCTACCGAAACATTAACAACTCACTTCTATTTACAAATGTGACTCGTAACGTATTTCGAGATTGATTTACGTCATCTGAACAGTACAGTAGTAATAAAATTTTATTTTACTAATAATTAAATAAATAAAAAACTAATATCTTAAGTCACTGTAAGATCGCACGAAAAAAAAGCACGAAAAAAATAAAATTATGTACATCAGGGGATTATCGTGTAAATTCAAAACCACACAAGCAACCAAAGTTCAATCTACTCTAGAAAAATAAAATATTTCAAGAAGATAGTGTCATTCAACACGCACGCTTTCTTTGCATCACAAATACTCTGTACGCTGCAGTTATTAGTTTATCTTTTTACTTTATAATCATCCGCAAAAAAAATGCTCTATACTTAGCCAATGCAGATAATCAATACCCACTTATGAATTAAAAAATCAGCATATTCCGTGATTATTAATAGCGCCACAGGACGTCGCGGTATTCGCAACAGTTAGAAATGACACAATCGGATACCGCAGTGTTCGTCCGTGAATACATTTAACCCAGAAAATGAGCATTCAACGATTACTGGAACGGGTACAGTTGCGACGCACCTAAAAGGAGCAGGGCTGCTTAAGCAATCGACTTATGTATATGGAAACGCGACCATGTATGGAAAATTGCCGATAATCTAAATGGACCTAAACCGTTTTACTTTCAAATTCGGTTTAATTGATTTTTGCGAGGTCTAAATTGACTTATATAAAGTGTGACACCAATAAGATATTAGTGTCATATAATTTAAAATATGACTCTTACAGAAGAAAATAAAAAAGGTTTTATCTCTTATATAAAAGTTTACCCATTTGGATCGTCACTAAAGTTCGCTGTAGGTAATAAAATATCAGAACCGGCGTTCCATAAACAATAAATCGTTTATTTTTATTTTAGAACTAATCAGGATAAGTCTTTTTTAAATTATATAATTTATTATAAATAAGAAATATAAGAATCAAGTTTTAATTTTGCCGAAATTAACTAAAAGATATTAGTCGTCAAATTAGCTAATTCTTTTTTCAAAGTTCATAAAATGTTCTAAATATGATCTTAGGATGTCGTTACAATTAATTGAATTTTTACGCATATTTTTTTATCCGAAGTCCTAAAGGTAGAGCTGTAAAAAGTAACTTACCCGTGGGACAGTCGCATTCGTATCTCAGTTGATCCAGCGGCGTGCACCTCCCTCCATGGAGACAGGGAGACGGCTCGCAGGGGACGTACTCCGCGTCACAATCGCGCCCCGTGTATCCAGGCTCGCACACGCACGTGTAAGAACCGTGGGTGTTGAAGCACCTCCCATGGTGACATGGCCCGGAGCCGCTCGAACATTCCACCACGTCTTCGGTACATCGAGTGCCAGTGAAGCCGGGCGGGCAGGCGCAGGAGTAGCCGGCAGTCGTTGAATTGTCTGCAACGCAACGCCCACCATTTCTGCACGGCTGGGATGCGCAGTGGTCTTCGTGTGAACATTCTGCACCTGCGTTTTAAATAGGACGATATTATTATTAATACATTATAGTATGATAAAGATAATGTAAATATTAAATACATACACACAAATAATTGTTTAAAATTGCTAATAATCTTACTCTTATAAACTTTAAACTTATTCTTTGCCATATTTACGAAACTGGTTACAGCCAAGCGCAGGGTAGCAATCATCTCATTGTCAGTAATTTTTATCAATCATGTAATCTTTATTAGCATAATAACCCTTATTAAATAACTTTGGCTTGGTAAAACTTTTAAACATTTTTAATTTAATTCAATTTAATTTTTGTCTGAGACACTAAGTTGCATTATATCATTTAGGATCATTAACATGTCTTACCGCCATCGACGTAGAAATAGCATATTACATAATTTTTAATTTTATGGCATAGATAAAGAAATTGATTTTGTATTCAATCCCTTTTGCTGTAGTATTCGACAAATTCCATTTTTTATGGTTATCACGTAAGTAATCATTAATTTAAAATGTTAATCAATTCGTGAATATTCCACAAAATTTGGTAAACCGTCAACAGCCTTGTAAAGTAGTATACGTCAAGTTTATATTGTACATTAGCATAAATCTTATAAATTATCAAAATAACCCGATCCTGTTTTTAAAAATAAAACGATGAGCCTTACTGATTGTAACCGGTACAATTTAAAGCACTTCTACGAAATTTCATTCATACAACCAGTGGCGAACGACGTAAATCAATGCAAATATATATGAAACATTTGATGGAAATAAAGAATTTAAGGAGGATATTCACAACCATAAAGTTTATGATATTTAATGAACATACAAATTCAAATGCTTTATTATGTAAAAAATTTAAAGGCTTATGTTTGGCAGTATACCAACGCTGTGTTTATCCCACTACTCAGTTGTACAGCATGTTTTTTTTTATAGAATAAGGGTGACAAACGAGCACACAGTCCACCTGATGGTAAGTGGATGCTGTGGCCCATAGACATCTACATTTATCCTCGATTAAGAATCAAAACGCAGAGCGTTTTCACCCATGAGGACTAAGATGAATTGCCTCGTTTCCAGTAAAAAGGGTCTCCGGATGTTTACACTCATCATACGAAACACAGCAGTATTAAGCTGCTATTTTACGCTGGTACTCTGTGAGAGCGTGGTCCTTCCCCGGTCGAGCCGACCCATTCGTGCTACAACTATAATATAGCTGCAGCGTGGCTTTACCACGTATAAAAATTTTACTTAATTAAACTGCAGTGGTGGTTTGGCGCTGCTATATATATGTTTTAAATAATTCATGTTATAAATGTACTATGGACTATTTTGTACTATCCGTTAAAGTTGTTTATTTATTTCGTTCAAAACGAAAGAAATTTAGAATTTCTAAATTTCCATTAACAACATAGTAACGTTGACGTCATAAATTATACATTTTATATTATCATCGACTTGTCAAGTAGTTCAGAGCTGGAAATATGCTTGTAATATACAAAGGAATGCTTTGCACGGTGCGGATTGGCGATCTTGAACCGTCGTCAATCGTAGGCGTCTCGCATCTTTGACTTTGACCCTGTTTCCAGACGCTTCTCTGGACATTTTACATATACATATGTATGTAACATTTGAGATGGTTATTCTGAAATCTATAACAGCCTGGACACAGTCGTTTCCCTAAGTCGACGTTAATGAAACCCACCGGATAAAAGGGTTTTGTAGATTTCCAACGACGCAACCGCATGGCAAACTGTTAACTACTATCAAAATAAATATTTAAGACTTATGGACCATCAAACATGTAGATACGAAAACAGTTGGAAGCTATATATTATACAATTCGTATTACAGCACCGCACGTGTTGTAATAGGTGACTGAAATAATACAAATTCCATGCACTGAACCGACGTAAGGCCGTAAGGCGTCGTCGTCGTGCACATACAGAATCAGTCGCCAGTTTAAATTGGAATGCTTAGCTGACTAATCAACGTGCGCAAAACGACATGAAAAATTCAGTTTTGATTGGTCGGAACAAGCTCAATTAACATTACAGTCCCTAATGCGATTTCTATTCAAGGGTATCCAAGGTTTTGATTGGGACTGTGGAATATTTTAAATCACATATATAAAAAATACAGAATTGTATAAGAGCACGATTCACAATTATTACATTTTTGGTAATGATATCCGACTTTGTGGACAACTGTGACTAATTTATTATCAATCAACTGAGTTTTACAACAAATTATTTCACCATGATGACAAATCTTTGTTTCTTATGGCATATATTCTTTACAACGAACGAAGGAGTAGAAAACGAAGAAGATACAGAAATCACAAAGAAACACCTAAGAATATTTTTCTGAACTATTCCAATTAAAATCTAAAAAATATGATGTACCTACATTTCTTATTAGTGTATTACTTTTACAATTAGAAAAAGACATGTAATCGCTGACACCTCGCTAATGGAAACCGGACAAAGGAAATCATTAGTAATTGGGCAAATTCACATAGTTCGATTAGTTTAATTATATTACTTGTAACTTGTATGTATGTGACGTAAAACAGGAAACTCAAATTGCTTAGACTTTCTACTAGCTGCGAAACTATTGGTAATTTATTTACTATCACTTTAAAATTGAGAATAGTCTTAAGTATTTTATTTTTATTGGTATTCACTGACTTAGTAGCTATATCATAGCTTCAGAACGAATGCGTCCGTTCTTCGGGGAAGGCTCACGTTTTAACAGAATACCAGCGTATAATCGCAGAATAATGCTGCATACCATAATAACTTGGTTTATATAGTGAACGCAGGGAACCGGCGTCCCTTTTTTTACTGGTAACAAAACATTCCATCTTAGCCCTCAGGGTGACAACGTATCTACATTTTATATTAGATAGCTTAAGTTAGACAAATGTACCTGTCTATGCGCTACAGCATTCACTTACCATCAGATGGGCTGTAGCCGTTATTATTGTTAGTCATCCTTTTTCAATAAAAAAAAAAAAATTGTAAGCCGGGTATGTGAAATGTTTCAAGCTTTGAAGTTTTTTGTACGCGTTATATCTAAAGTATTACGTCAATAAAAATTAAAAAGCGATTCGCTTAAATTGCGCAAAAAAGAAAACACGCAAGGCGTCTTTCCAAAACGGAATGAAAATGTGCGCGGAAAGCGAAAGAAATTAAAATTTTTGCTCCACGACAAGGCGTGATTACTGAGATACAAAGATGGCGGCGGTTGGTGTTGAATTTTTTGCTGTAATTCCCTTTTTGTAGCGGTGTCGTGTTGTAACTAATGTTAATGCCAAGAACCTAGTTAAAGAGTTCAAACGATTCGCGAGTTTTTATAAATTGCGTGGAAATAAAAGGATTAATGAATGAATAGCAAATAATCTTAGTTATTTTTATGTATAGTGTACTTTTCATATTAAAACTTTTATTTCACCTCCAAAGAGTCTTAAATATTCACGTGACCGTCTTCTATGCTTTAGGTAGTTCGAGTTTAAACCGAGGCCCATCAATGGGTGCGTTTGGCAGAAAAAAGCGCTAGCAAGCGCTTGTAAGCAAAATGGCGATCGTAAGCGGTAAGCGCTGTCAAATCGTAAGTAGCTATTTTCCTCCAGGACACGATGTTAGTTTTAACCGGGGAATCTAACCTAATTTAAATATATGTTTGTAAAGTATTCATATTAAAAACTTACCAATCATGAGTTTTTAATAGCATGTATATGTTTATTCATGTCATTATATTACTTAAAACTAATATTGCACAAAACAACTTATAAACTCTACTTCAAAACAAACAAATTAAATAAGCAAAATGGCGGATTGTGTCAGCGCTACTGAAGTAGCAATCGTGTCCTGGCCGAAAACTATTTTAGCGCTTATAAGCGCTTGCTAGCGCTTTTTTCTGCCAAACGCACCCATTATAAATAGGCTTTTTATATGCATAGTGACATTACTTATCACACATATCTATCCATCTTCTTTATAAGGCAGATAGTTTTAATGTATGTATGTTGGTACGCTTAAAGCAATAATTATATATCTATACATATGCAAGCCCCGGTAGAATAGTACTTATACAACATACAATATATAAAGTGTAATTATAAGAAAAACCAGAATGCGTAAAAAGTGACATTCAATCATTATTCACTATGTAGTACTATATTCTACAATTATTTAAATTCCCCAATCAGGTCATTTAGGCTACATGAGGCGTGCTAAAGAATTACGATGGAAATACACACGCATTCGGAAAACATTAACCTCCTTCTGGGCAAACGGGTAAAAAAGGAGTAGAATTGAATAGATAACTGTCGGTTTACAGCCAATAATTTACATTATTATGATTTATTCTGGGAATTCAATAGATTTTGTCATTTTTCTTAAAAGTTTGAATTTTCATTTTTAAGCAACGTCAGTCTAGTAATAAATAAGCTATTAATATCGTCGACTATAGAACAAGGTAAAACATATTACGAAACCTGACTGCCTCGTTGGTCTACTGGTTGTAGTAGTGCGACTGCTGATCATGGGTTCGAATCATTCATCACAAAATTGAGTTTTTCCGATATTCCAAGAAATTTTCAGTAGCTGCCCAGAGTCAGGAAATTGACCTACGTGTCTCAGAAAGCACGTAAAGCCATTCGTTCTGCGCCTGATCTCTTTCCGGTCGTGTCGGTTTACCGTCCCATCGGATTATGAGAGTGAGGGTATAGAGAGTGCACATGTGCTTGCACATGCCGCACATACACTTGGGCACTATAATCCTGTCCTGGGCAGATGGCTAGTCTCCGTTTAGGCTGGGAGCCGTGACCGAATTTCGGTCTGGAGGATATTATTATTACGAAAATTGATTAAAAATATTGTAATTATGCAATAGCTGTTTATTTTTTGATAATGCATAATGAAAGGATGCCAACAAGTAACAACATTTGGAATAAGAAACTATGGTTTTAAAAAAAATTATCTTCTTTTTCTTCTTCATTAGCACGTTCGAAATGTGTATCTCGATAGTCTAGGATGTTTAACGTCTGGCATAAACGAAGTGGTTATACTGCCATCTAACGGAAGCCATGTCATTATTTTTTCCTTTGCCTTGGTCGCTTCTTTAGTGTTGATGATATAGAAATAGACTTGTCGCCGCTAACACATGATAACAGGAAAAAATAGCTTGTTCTCACTTTTCAATTTTTTTTGATATAGTATAAGGATGACAAACGAGCACACAGTCCACGTGATGGTAAGAGGATGCTGTGGCCCATAGACATACATTTATCCTCGATTAAGAATCAAAATTTACATGCATTGTCACTCCTGAGACCTACGATGGAATGCTCGTTTCCAGTAAAAAAGGGTCTCCGGATCTCTACACTCACCATACGAAACACGGCAGTATTAAGCTGCTATTTTACGCTGGTACGCTGTGAGAGCGTGGTTCTTCCACGGTCGTGCTGACCCATTCCTGATACAACCATAATATATGTGCAGCGTGGCTCTAACACTTCAAAAGTAAAAAAAAAATTGTCTACACCGGAACAAAAAAATGAAAGGCATTCATTTAATTAGACAACCCACTAATCAAACCAGTCGATGCAATTTGCTTGATTCAATAATTTGGCGCATAATCGAAAGTATGGAGTATATAATAAGTTTGAGGCAAAAACGAATATACAATTTTGATCTTTACGACAAAATAACTTTCAATTATGTTATAATCTTATATAACAATCAAAAACAATATCTATACAATCAATAGAAATAGAAATATATATAAATTTAAACAATATTATTTAGTTACGTATTGATACCTAGACTTTTTTTAGAAAGGTGATAAAACTAGTTTACAGTTCATCTGATGGTAAGTGAATATCGTGACCCATAGACACCTATATGTTAATTTAGAATCAATATACTGTGTTGCCACCTTATGTATATTTTAGTTATATCATTTCTTTTTTTATATGGGACAGGGTGACAAACGAGCAAACAGTCCACCTGATGGTAAGTGGTTGCTGCGGCCCATAGACATCTACATATATCGTCGATTACGAATCAAAATGCAGATGCGTTGTCACCCGTGAGGACTAAGATGGAATGCCTCGTTTCCAGTGAAAAGTGTCTCCGGTTCTCTACGCTCACCATACGAAACACAGCAGCATTAAGCTACTATTTTACGGAGGTATTCTGTGAGAGAGTGGTACTTCCCCGGTCGAGCCTACACATTCTTGCTACCACTATACTACTAATATAACTACAGCATGGCTCTACCACGATCTAAAGTAGTACGGAATAAATACTACGCATTTTTCTCTTATTTCTCATATGAACACCTGTGGTTATTATTAATCTAAAAACCGGAACTGTCAAACCTTCAAAAGCTCAATGAGATATCATCGAATGTGACACACAGTAATGCCTCTAATTATGTTTAACAATCTGTCAATTTCTTATGTGGCCGGTTGGTCTAATGGTTGTAAACGCGACTGTTGTGTCATGAGGTCTGGTCTGGGGTCTAAATCATGGGACGGGAGAAAAATCAAATCAAAAAATAATTCTCAGTAGCTGTCTAGATTTAGGAATTTAGAGGTGATTAACCTCCCTATCTCGGTAATCACGTAAAGGCGTTGGTTCTACGCCTGATTTTACTCCGAACGTATCGGATTCTGGTCGTGTCGGATAGCTGACCCATCGGACAATGAGTGAGGGAATAGAAAGTGCACACATAATCCTACTCCACGCTGGTGCCCTGGATCTCCTTTGAGATTGGCAGTTGTTAACGAAATTGGTTCTGGAAGACTAAACATGTTACTTGTAAATCTCTGCTTGATTACAGAAAAAACACGACGTGTTGGAAATCAAGTGTACGGAGCAGTACGCTATTGCATAAGCTTCATACAGCAGCGTATAAAATCTTGGTTCGAGTAACTTACAATTGATTGCAAGTGATTTGTTTTAACTTTGCAACAATGCGTTTAAGCAAATTACAGAACATAATGGTTAAGGGTAAATATACGAACCTCAATGTTTGAATTCGCAATTCGACTACTGTCCAATCAATATTTTAAATACAATAAAACCAATTCTATCATTATTTAGTCATGTTATATAATGCCATTAACATCGCTAGATTTTTCAAATAATAAAAAAATAATGTTTCACTATAGTCGTTTGTCTTTTTATTTAAAAAAATTGATTTTATGAAACACTTTTTAAAATTCGTACACGAGCTTTTTAAGCTTTTAAAGGCTTAATATTTTGCAGTCTTGTACAAGCAGCTCGCAGCGTTGAACGATCCCCCCCCCTCCTACTAGATGGAATGACGACCTGATGAAACATCCAGGTCAGTTGATGGATGCAGGTGGTTCAGTATCACCATATTTTGAAGTAATACTGGGAGGATGAGTGTTCAACAGTAGATCTATAGTGTACAGTGTAGTCTATTGTGCATCACCACTATAAACATTCTTGCATTAAAATGGCAATATAAACAATACAGTTAATGGATTGTCGTTTCGCCATATTGGATCCAACTCCGGCAGTTATTCACAACATGGTCATTGTTGTAAACTATAAAAGGCTTAAACAAGTACTAAACAACATACCTGTGTAGCCGGGCGGACAGTCGCACTCGAATGTATGTAGTGACGTCAGTCGACATGTCGCTCCATTTAGACACGGCGCAGAGTCGCAGGCCGCTGGCACTCGTATCTCGCAAAGCGACGCGCTGAAGCCGAGGGGGCAGTCGCAAGCGAAGGACGGTGGGCCGCCCCCGACTCCTGGACGGACTCGGCAAGTGCCGCCGTTCTGGCACCGGGGACTCGACTCACTATGACACGGATTCAGATGCTGGCAGAATTCGCCGGCGTATCGGGACGTGCAACTGAAACAAAAATAAATATTGTTAGTCAAGTCTTTTTTAAGTATGGTAAGAAATGTAGTTTTTTTTTTAATGTGGCGTGATGAAATACAACTGGCAATGGCATTAATAAAAAGAAATCTCTCAATATTGATTACCGCTAATTACGTTAGCAGACCGTACCGCAAGTGAGTTTGGCAATTTTTCATTTTGCAAATACTTACATATTTCACATTTAGTTAAAATATTATTTTTTTATAGAATAAAGGTGACCAACGAGCACTTAAGTCCAACTGATGGTAGATAGATGTTGAGGCTCATAAACATCTACATCTATCCTCGATTAAGAATAAAAATACAGACGCGTTTTCAACCCTGGGAGGACTAATAAGTAATGCCTCGCTTCTAGTGAAAAAGTAACATAACAGTATTCTGTGAGAGCGTGGTCCTTCCCCTGTCCATTAGTGCTACAACCAATGTAGCAGCAGCGTGGGTCTACCACGTTCCATATTCTTTATAAAAAAGAAAATAGGCGAAGCTTAATTCGTCCCATGTTTCGCAAAGTAAAAGATGGTTAACATAGAGCTAACACTGAAAACGGGTCCACGTAGATGCAACACCGCCGCAACGGTGAGCGCCCGGCAGGCGAGCGCTATCGCGAGCGCCGGACGTCGCCAATAAATAAAGCCGATACGTTGCGGACAAGACCGCGTGACATGCGCCTGCGCACACACTATCGCCTTTTATACTCCCTTACCTCTGAATTTAAAACGCTTTCTAGGTTCGCATTATGAATACACGGCATTATAATAATATATTGCAGTTTGTTGTATGACAATGAAGTAGGAAACAAATATGATATAGAAACCAAATCGAAAACATATTTCTAGAACAACCTGTCGAATCCTCTTAAAACAAACATCATTTGCATAAAGAAATGTAAACTTGAGATTACTATTTTATTTTTAATTCAATGTTTGTATTGCAATATTTACCTTCTTGCCAGATAACATATGTCTCAGTATCCTATAACAAAGTTGAATCTACGTGTAATATTAAAAAAAATATTTAAAGTTACTTTATTTCCAACAACTGTCAATTTCTAAACGAAAAAGTTGTGTATAATGATAATTTAAAATAAATATTAACACAGTCACCAATTTGAAAACGAATATAGTATAACCTTAACATTTAAAATGATTTCCGAACAATCGAATAAATACAAGCAATCATCATGCATATGAGCCAAAACGTGGAGCCCCCACCCACGTCTATATTAATATTCCACTAGACGAAGTCAATCTCTCTTATTATCGCATCCGAAATTGTTATACTAACGATGTTTGTGGGAAAATCGTCAAATTCAATAGCCATTCAGAGTTTATAGTTAATATAGGAATTTCCACTTAATAAAATATTCAACATCTATCGATTATTAAGGTTAATATTCTCTATCTCGATACTATGGATTATAGACAAGGATTAGGTTGCGTTACCAAATGAAGTGTATAAAGGGACATTGGTTCAAATTTAGATTTATTTATTATACTACTTACTTATTATCTAGCATATTCATCATCATCATCCTACAACCACTGCTAAACATAGGCCTCCCCAAGGAATGGCACAAAGCACGGTCCTGAGCCACTTGCATCCATCGACTTCCTGCATGTCTTACCAGATCCTCACTCCACCTAGTGAGGGAACGTCCTACACTTTGTCTGCCGGTACGAGGCTGTCACTCGAGAAAATTTTCCCCCATCGGTTTATCGGTTCTTCCCATATATTCGGCCCATAGTAGATAATAATATCTTATATATAAAATCTTCATTGACCAGCAAACCAACAGTCACAACACATCAGTGAGTGGCTCCTGCGGCCCATGGATACCTGCAGCCGACATTAAATAAAGAAGGTAACAGACGAGTTGTCACTTTGGATAATTAAGATGAAACGCCTCTAATTGCATTACGCTGGTTTCCCTTCAGATCGGAACATAGCAGTGCACGCACTGCTTATGCTTGGTGTTACACTCCCAGGCAAAAAAGCTAACACCTAGTAAAGTGGTAAGTCTATTTCTGCCACAAAACAGCAGCGTAACCACAGCTGTGGTTTGAAGGGCTTTTAAACATTTATCTATAGGCCTATTTGCTTGAAGTCGGTTGCAAGTGTCCTGGGCTACACCAGCCTATTACTCTCAGGTGGAATGTTAAGTTGTCCACAAGCACTTATATTATTAAAAAAAAAAGTATAATTCGTTATCTTCAACAGATTTATTTTAGGGCTGTAATTAAGAATAATAGATGCTGGGTCTTATTATAAAACGTTCTTTATCGATAGTCTTAGCTTTAACTAAAAAAAAACGAACTTAAAATGTTTCATACTACTATACTATTATAATGATTTTCTAAGGAATATTTTGTAGTATCTTCGAGATGCATTCCGACGTTTAATGCAGAGACTGAATATTTCCAACGTTCAAGTTGATGCAGACTTGTAGTTTGTGAGTCTGCGTGGGCGGCCTCGGGGCCTGTTCCTTCACACCCACGCCTTGACCTCAGGAGGCCGAGGTGCTTGCACTGCACTGAATGTAGATGAATTTACAGTGCAATATATCTTTGATATTTTGTTTAATATTTGACAAGAATAAAAAATCGTAATAAACGTTAACCCCACAATAAGATCTTCATATGTATCGTGGAGACGCTCTACAAATTTTATAAAAAAATCAAACAAACACATGTTCCATGCGGCCATTTAAGCACTGGGCCCTATAGTGCCCTTATTCACACAGGTCACACGTCATATAAAAGACAATTTTGTCATATTTTAAAGATATATGAAAGTCTATGTGTGTATCCCTTCGATATTATTGATCGAAGGTGTATCCCTATAGACTCTGAAACAGCTGGACCGATATCGATGAAATTTTCGGGAAATCTTCAGATTGGTCTGGCGGGTGACCTGTGAAGTGTGGTAGCGAACGGAACTGAACTTTTTTTGCATTATTGGCAGCGTCTGGCAACGGAAGACAATTTACATCATCTGAATAGTTAGTCTAGGTGGCGCGCGCATCGTACCCACAAAATTTGAAAGTAGTTCATTAATAAAAAATAGTACAATTTCAATGAATGTATTATCATTTATTTATTTATTTAAACTTTATTGAAAGATGTACTTTCAATAAAGTTTAAATAAATAAATATACGCGATATAAACCCGTAAAAACTAGTTTTATTTAAACGTGCAGTTTTCGCGTAAATATAAGAAATATTTTTATAAAAATCACACATGTAACAATTAAGTAATGAAGTATCAAAACGTCAACCACGAGATTCGTCAGCAATCGACAAAAAAAAACGAACAATGAAACGGACGAACTCTTTCATGCTACAATTGAAAATAACGATAGATTATCTTGAACGGTCTCGTACAATAATTGCATGGACTAAGACGTGAGAAAATTGTTGAATAGACTTTACTCCACGTTTATGACAGTCGGAGAGATCGAAATGAAACATAGGGCCCACCGAGCCGTTAATTACCGCATAACGAGGCAGCGTAGCATCGCGGAATGACAACGGCCGACTAGCGACTACCTGCACGCGGTTATCTTTCAAAATAACAAACCGACGAGCCGCCTTTGTTCGACGCTCGAACAGTTCGCCAGAGCTAAATCTTCATTATGTGGTGCACTATAAATTAATTTTGCTGAACCTATCGGCGATCTCCTTGTGCTGTTTGGTGAAGTAGCACGCTCTCTAGCAGGCACAGACTGTAAGAGCCTGGATACAGAAAGTAGTAAGTTTTATATTAAAATTGTATTCTAAATATATTTGCTGTTTCATTCATACAAAACACACTGTTATACTTTCCGTATTGAATTACTAGCCAGACAAGCTATATATACATTTGTATAATATGTTGTAAAGAAAAGCCGCCTGTGAAGAAACCGCTTCGCTGTTTTCACATGTCATTCAGTCATTGTATATGTTACAGTCAAAACTCATAACCGGTTAAAACCACTTTTGACTGCGAAAATCAAGCCAAAATTTTTGAAAATCGATTTGACCAATGCCCTTATTCAAAAACAGTTTTAACTGATTTTTGTAGCCAAAAGTGGTTTTTACCAATGTTCTCAGTTATGTGATTTGACTAACGTTCTAGTTCAATTCTTTCAATATATTGTTAACGATTATCGTTATAACGTACGCGGCTTTCGGGAAAGCCGCACTTTAATCTACTGTCACTTATAATCCAAGATTTGTGTAATGTTTTATAGACACCAATAGCCCTATCATTAGAGAAATTATCAGTACATAAAAAATATACCAGTAAAAATTAGTATTGACCAACGTCCTTCGTCAAAACTACTTTTGCAGTCATAAGTGGTTTTGATGGGTTATTAGTTTTGATCATAACATATAAATTATGTACATATGTTACAAGCATCGTAATATCTTAAGAAGCTATAAGTACCTACCTAAATACCTAATTTTGTTCCTCGTGTGATGGCGGTGCAAGAATATCCACTATCCCGTATCGTCCCGTGACTGTCGTAAGAGGCGACACAGGAAAATGGAAACAAGAGATGGCAAGAGGCAGTAGCATCTTGTTGATAACAACACAACTCAAAATATAAAAAAAGCGTCGGTTGCCATTTGCCAACTCACTTGCAATCGTGGCAACTATAGCAAATTCTCCCGATGAGGCAATCTATGGAGCAGGTCTATGTTTACTTTTGAGATGCGGTAAGTAATGGAATTAATACCTTTGCATTACAAAGCCAAACAGGAAAATTTTAATATTAGGTATAATATAATTAAGTGCACTAAAATTTACTATAAATATTTAATACAACTAAACTTCGGAGAAAGATCAAACAACCAAATGGTATTTAAAAAAAAAAAACAAGTTTTCTCCACATTTAAACGTTACGAAGCCAAAATAGCTGAAGAAATTATTCATAGCAGTGAATAAATTATCAGACACGTCGTTGAATATGCGGACAGGTGGCCACTTGG